AGTCAAGTATTTTCTCCCTTAGCGACAAAACTTTGGGCCTCACTTACTGGTATCTTTTGTACTACATTTACTACATTATCACTGGACTTTAGCCGGGGAAGCCTCATCCTGTTTGCTCCGGATCGACTTATGTGAAGGTGAGCCTACAGGAGAGTTACATTTATCTAGTAACAGCTTTATTAACGTAGTTAGAGCGATCGTGGGCGGGGGGCACCCCGCTTCCACCGGCACCTTCGTCAACATTCCACGGGCCCTCTACACCAAACGCAGTTTCCATCTGCTTGGGCACCAAGTAGCTCTCATTAGGGTGCTCTGGAGGTTCCGCCTGATTCTCCCCGGCCCTGCCTGCCCCAGTTAAGGCCGTATAGTCGTTATCCTCCGACAGTAGGCTCTCTAGCAGGTTGGCAACTTGTTGGAAGGTGCACCGTGATTTGGGGTTGTCTTGCCAGCAACGTTGCATTATTCCGTAGCTGCAGCAGCCAGGCAAGAAGAAAACATTATTTAAATTGGTTTACTCCCATGATATTAATCGTCAATATCTGAGTAAACTTCTATTTTTTCTCCATCCTCTTAAAGCACTCCTTCTGAAGAATACCAGCTTTGTTAAGCGAAGAATCACAAAATTTACGTGTACTTCATTCGATAAACTGATCTTAGAATCAGGCAATTTAAGTGTGAGGTATCAGTGACTATTCAAGTCTATAGATGATGCCCTTTTCACAGCAGCATTTTGCAACTTAAGTCCAACAGTAGAGTTTACCTTGTGTTCGGAGAGTAATATCTAAGAAGACTGAATTTAAAACAGAGAAATATGACGGACTTGAGCTACAGCATAACTAAATGCTAAAGACTTTTTGTCTGAAACTCACATCTCTGGCGGACAGTTGTTGGGAGCAATCATGCGTTGACCATCCTTCAAGAAGTCATACACATCGCGGTTCGCCAATCCTGGGTAGGGTTTTTCACCCAAGCTGAAAATCTCCCAAAGGAGAACGCCGTAGGACCACTGCAGAAAAATGCATAGCAACCAACCAAAACTGCCCATTTACTCCTAATCCAATAATGTTGCATGCCAAGCAGACCAAATGGCAAATCGTCAACGAAATTACTGGCAATTAAAACATGCAGGAAGTAATTTGCCAGCCGGTGAAAATGGACTATCTGCAATGAGTTAAGCTGATCTGTAAGATCTTATAGCTTGGATGGTGTAGCTTCTAAGCAGATTGTGCTAAATGCAGCAAAATACTTCCGTCCACAGTCCACAATAAATGTGTTACTGGATAATACGGGTGATTCACGATGCACTGCGCTACCCAAGAATTTGCCGCAGACAGGCTTCTTTTCAAGTTCACGTAAGTTGGGATATTTGATTGATTGATCGTTCTCTACACCACATAAAACCATCACTGTGACCACCTATATCCAGTGGTAATAAGCAATTCCAAATTTCAACCAAGATGATTATACATTCGGGAAAACTGAACTTTCCCATGCACAATGCAGTTAAGTTAGCGAATGAGACTTCGTCGACTATTTATCTAATCATCGTCCGTATTAGCTAGCACTGACATTTGAAATTCTTTCTTGATTTGTAATGTGTATAAAATAATTCGTCTTACCGTTTACAGGGGACAGTTCCAAAGAATACCTCTTTAATATTGTGAATTGCAGAATGCAAGGAGTGGGAACAGCTAGCCCTTATTGAAATCAGTGATCAGGAAACATTGTTAGTGATGCAG